AATTTTTTCTCGATAATTGCAAAATGGAAGAAGATTATGTGTACATCCGTTTCATACAAACATCCGTATTATGCGAATATTCATTTCAAATACAATGAATTTTCTTATTACACTGTATAAAGTAAAAATATTTTCCTGATACGAAAAATTATATTAAATTAGATATTATTATTCATCGATTAATTCATTTATAGCGTATCTACGTATATAATTCGAAAACCTCTACGTCTTATATTGATCACTCTTTCATCTCTCACACGATCTTTTCGCGATTTGAATTTATGACAAAAGAGTAACACAGGCTTTTGAGAGTCGATCAATAACGATGGTGTATAATGCTATTGAAAGAGGATCGACCCTTTTTCGATTGACTGATGTATTGTTTTTGCAACAAAAAGTACGCACCTTCTCCAATTTCTCTCGATTCTAATCTAAACGTTATAAAAACGGTCTACGATCCTGATCGAGTTTCTCGAGGCGTTAGCCATTTTTACGGGCACCTAACATAAAACTCAAACAACGATCTTTTTCACTGCTGTACAAAAAAAGTTATATTCTTTACACAATAATACGATAGAATCATTTTGTTGCAATTTAATTACAAGTCTTCGTTGAATATTTTGCCAAAAATTAAAAAAAAATGTTTAACAATATATACTTGGAAAACTTCGTTTTAATATATAATGTATAAGAATTTTCATTTTCTTCAGTAAAAGAGTATTTTAAACATTAATAGAAATTCAGTTATAATGTCTTTGTGAGGTTTTGAAATTTTTAATAATTCCGTCATTTTTCCTTCTTTTTGATAACGCGATACTTGTGATTCTTTTCTTTATAATGGAGATAGAACCGTGAAAGAGAATACTGCGGTTATTCGCACAAAACTGGTCCGAGTAGTACTACAGTTAAAAAAATTATAAAAGGAAATGTAACAACGCATTTTCTGTTTGAAAACACAATATAGAATATCTGGAAAAGTGAAAAATGTCTCACCTGTCGGAACCATGGCTCCTCACTTTGCCTGGCAGTAGAGGCGGACCCGGGCCGCGCTGTGCCCGAGCCTGAGGCCCGCAGGGCGCAGCCAGTTTCCCGGCCGTGGCAGGGTCGTGGCCCCCGTTACTCCCATCCCCGAGCCGTAGTTCCCCAGGGGCCCCAGAGTACCGGTTGTGCCCTTCAGCGTGGTCATGCCCATTGGTAGTCCGACGCTTGCTCCGTTCGATCCGTACATCTGTTGCACTAAAATGCCGTAAGACACATCAGTCCCGCCACACCACCTGCATCCCTCTTGACGATAAAGTCAAGTCGTCGAATTTGCAAAATCTTTTTTATATATTTCGTAGAATTGTAAGGGAAACATTTTACAGTGCGAAATAATGTAACTTTATCTATTTTCAGCTAATTTTTCAAAAAAGTAGTATTATTATAAAAAATTTTCTAAAGGAATTGAATCTTAATTATGAATTTGTAGAAATTATATTATTTGAACTTATATGTCATCGCGAAGTATTAATTTTCTATACGTCGTCATGTAGGATAATATGATGAAACTTCGTATAACACGGTACAATTCTGAACGAAATAAGGTTTGAATTCAATTTTCGAGTTGAACTCAACTTTGATTTTTTTATTTGGCAGGATCCTTTAGTACTATTTACACAATGAGACGTGGATTATCAAATTTGGACTTTAAAATTGAATTGAAATCTTATTTCCTTCGGAGAGAATTGCACCATGTTCGAAATTATTTTAGTATCTTTTTATTAATTAATATTATTATTGCTTTACTATTATCTTCGTTTAATTCTATTTAAGTGCACATGTCAGAAAATATTATCTTTATTAAAAATAATATTACAATATAAGAGCTATTTCGAGTACAATAACAAACAAGCGCGCAAATATTATTACCTCTTATATCATAGAAAGGAATTTGAAATTCGTTTCTACGAGGGTAACATATAACAGAACAAGATAAAAAATTCTCAAGCGTAAGTTTTGAAATTTACATCCATTGATATATGCAATCTATTTCTCGAAAGTGACAGCGATACGCATTGCGCTTTTCCGCATGCGATTACGCGACGAATTTTCTGCGCGCTCTTTCAGCCGTCACTTATCTCGACGAAACGGAACACAGTTTCCTTGCTTTATGGACGAGCGGAATCCAGGTCAAACGTATTTCGTAAGTTTCGGTAGAGAAAATGCGGTTAACGTTTCTGACGATTTTTCGGCCTGTGAGACGTGGTGTCGCGAAAGCGTGAAATCTACGCGCGGAACGTGACAGGGATAAGGTGACCGGCGATCTTTGATAGACTCCTCGACGAAGTTGCACATATTTACGATAACTATGCAAAAGTTTGGGCGATTTCGGGCCCGTACATCATGGCGTGGTTCTGACATCTCGCGCGATTATACTGGAGTGAAAGCCGAGGATGTGAATAGCTTAAAGTCCGTCCTTCTTGCCACACAAGATTTGTCACAATTGCAACTCGTGGCGACAATTCACTCTGACAATTCGTTGCGTATATAACTCTTTAAGTTGAGATATATGTCAAAATTTTCTAAAATATTCTCGTCTAAAATCATATTTATCAATACTGAGAAATTTTCTCTCTTTAAATAATAAACAATTAAATATTTCAAATTCAATAATTTTAACGTGACTTTATGAATATAAACAATGAAAAAAAGGAATAAATATTCATACGCAGGATCTATGTAGCGAAAGTTATTTATTTAAATTTATTTTGTTAACAAAATAAAAAGATCATAGACGTTTTGTCCAAGATTTCGCCATCTTCGGTATGTGTAATTCAATTTGACGTCAAATTAAAAAATTTGGTATCAATATAAACACAAAATAATATAAAAACGCCTAGAGATCGTTAAATTCGTAGTTGTCAATATAAAAATAAGTCATAAATTTTAACGTCGAAATTTAAAATTTGATAATTACAAATAAATAAATTAAACCGAAGATAAGTTACTAGAATTTAACAATCTCTCAGCGTTTTTATGTTGTTTTGCGTTTATCTTGACAATCAAATTTTATATTGACCTCGAATTGAATTTTTACATATTAAAGATGATCAAATCTTGGCGGAAACGTCTATGATCTTTTTATTTTGTTAACGACATAAGTTTAAATAAATGACTTTTGCTATGTCCTGCGTGTAACAATTTTTTCCATTCTTTTCATTGTTTAAAAATATTTTCGAATTATTTTTGAAAATTTTGAGATCCCTTTCATGAATTAAAAACATACGCGAAGAAATTAATAGAATTAACTGATGTATTGAAAAAGTATCTGTGTCACAGAGAAATGCAAGTAATAAATGTTTTCAAAAATGTGAAAATGTTTCAGACGTTCACGTCGCTGAATGGCGAAGAAGTGTGCAGCTTTGTGACATTCCTGCGCTTTTACTGGTTTACGCGATTTTTCAGTGCAAATAAGCATTGCAGCGTTAAATATATGCTCGGGACGTGAGGGATAAACCCGTGCATGACTTTAGAAACTCGAGGCAACTGCGTATTAGCTTCATAAAAGTTCCGACTTTCGTGCTTTCGTATGTATTACGTCTACGTGCAAACGGCAAGCATCACATTGTTAATTTAAAGAGAATCGTCGAGTATATTTTAACTGAGTATTATTATTCTCTACGACATAATCGCGCCCGCGTTTAGTTATTCAGGATCACTATTTTACAGTGTGATATAAAAGCAACAGCTTCTCGTTCATACGAGTGATTTAAATCAATGGCTCTTAACATATCTTGTTGAAAAACGATCGCGTGCACAATAAAACGATTAATTGCTCTCTCTATATCGTATTACAAATTTGATATTACACCATTCGATTCGTCTGACAAAATACAATAATAGCGTTATGTTACATTATGCAGAAGGATACATCGTAGCATGCGTTTCTCATATTTTTGTGAAAATGTTGCACCGCTTATGATATATTACTCTATTATACGTTTTCGTTGCATAGCTTGAATTTTAAACGACTGTAATGACGATCAATACAGCGAGATATAAAGAGGGGGATTTATTACACCATACCGTATTTAAAGAGATGCATTTTTTATTTTCACCATTTTACGATTACGTAGCTTTAAGTTAATATTGCGAACAGAATAATAAAAGAGAATGATTTAACTGTAAGTCGTATTATTGCATTGAAAGCAATACTCTCTCAATTATTTTGCGTAAAAATTCCCGATTTATAGTCACTGTCAAAATTGATATTTTATCTACCGAATAACTGCGCGAGTATGCATTTTCGCGTGATCTCTCTTAATTCAAAATGTCTCTCACAGGAAAGTGGTGTGCGTTCCACGGTGAAATTTCCATCTCGCCCATAAAGGGAGAGAGCTATTTTTTGATCTCCTCAACGACGTCGGCGTTTTCCGCAAATTCGCTGTTCGCGAACGACATTTTTCAGGGCATCGAAAAAAAGGGCCGACATAGCCTTAAAGAATGCCATCCGGCCAAAAATTTACGATCAGCTCCGAAACTGTAGAAGGGCCGCGAAAATGGCTTCGAGAGAAGTAGAAAAAGATTTTTATCGCCAGTAGATTTATGTTCTTGTTGTTCAAACATTATTCTACGATATCGTATCCTTAAACAGATATTTATGATGTTCTAAAGTAAATGTATCACGATATTACATCTCACGATTAGTAAAATATAAAGAAAATTAAATCAATAAATGAAACATTAAAAACTATATACTTACATATTTTAAAGTTTATGATTAGTATTCTTGATAAAATTAGAATTGATTGAACACTTGTTCTCCTATCGATGCGATACGTCAAATAAATAATGTAATTTATTCCTTCAAGAGTTGCAACAAGAAAGACAATTTCTATACGAAATAATTTTAACGATGTAATCATTTTGAATGTAGCAACAATTATTATATTTACATTACCAAGTATTGTATTCGCACTAACAATATTGTATTATTAAAGTTTAATGAACGGTAATTTTAGTTCGGATAGCATTCTATTCTCTAAAGTAACCATCCCAAAGCAACCATCACCGTATATACGTAGAAGCAATCACGTGATGCAAGTTATGTGGCAGTCGGAATACAACAGTGCCAAAAGTGGGCTCTCCAAGCTGACGGACGAATGCAGTTTGGAATATGCATGAGGCTGTAGTCGCTGGATGATCACGTTTTCTGGGATGTGATCTCCTTGCAATCTCCATATGCGACATAAAAGGCTTTTAGCAAAATCACCAACAAAACTGATGATATCTATATAAAATGAGGCTCGAAAAAATCTATCAGTGAAAAATATTTAAAAAATCTAACAATCTGATGAGCGATATGATTCTACTTATTGACGCAGTGTATATGACTTTGGTTTTATTTTATGTAAGTTTTTATATTATTATTGTATAAGTTAATATTTTTGATTATCATTTGGCTATTCATTACATAGCTAATTTGGCATTTGGATAAAGAAGAACGAGCTAAATTGTCGGGAATCACCATCTTGGAATTTGCGTTACTTATGTAATTTCTATTTATATTTTATATTGATAAGGAATTAAAGAGTCAAAACAATTATTTTATTCGTTTTGTTACATTCACACGAAAATAAAAGTTTTCTGTGCATCCAAACAGCTGATGTAGGTTCTGATGGGCTTTTTTATATTTTTAATTGATGATGACATCTAATAATAACAGCAAGCAAGGGATCATATCTCAAAATCGGCGAAAATGTTACGTTTATTTCGGAATAACCAGTATTGATTTCTTGGCAATTGAGGTCGCGTATATAATGGCAATAACGCTCATAAACTTCGTATTTGAAAATAATTTTCACAATAGGGATAGGAAAGAAATAGTAACAGTTATTTTAATTCTACAATTGACACATTTTTCAGTATATATCTACAGATATATATATATATATA